CCCCCCCCCCAGGCCACAGTACCCCGTTGATGACGATCCAGGGCACGTATTGGTGTGGGGGGTCGAGCGCCTCAGTCAACTGGGCGTTGCGGTGCATCAGGGCGGCCCCCACGTCCCCCTGAACGCAGGCGGCGATGCGGCCGCCGTCCAGCTGCGGGGCGTAAACCTGCAGGCACTGCCGGGACACGGACACGGACACATGGTGAGATCAGGGGGACGGGGACGTCCCTGAGGCGGGGCACAGGGGATGGAGAAGGGGACGTACGGCTTCCAGGTTCTTGGTGACGGAGCTGCCCGACTCCAGGCAGAAGATGACGGGGAAGTAGGTGCTGAAGTTCTTGGCCTCGTGCATCAGGCAGGTCTACGGGGGACGGGGCAGGCGGTGAGGGGCTGCCGGACACCCCCCAGCCCCGTGCCGGTACCGTGGGGACAGGGACCGTCGCTGTCACCTCGATCATGTTGCCCAAACATTCCTCCGGGCCGTGCTGGCACTGGAAGTGCCACTTCCCACTGACGTTTCTCTCCTGCAGGACCAACCGGTCTGAGCGGGGCCGGTGGTGCCCCAGCGAGCGCCCGCGGCACCGGATCGGGCCGGCTCCTACCTCGGCATTGCCATAGGGCACCAGGGTGATGCTCAGGACCTCCTCGGGCAGCAGCAGCCAGGCAGTGAAGAGCTCCTGGACCAGGAACCCGCGGCACGCCGGGCACAGGCTCTCATAGAACAGGCTCAGCTCCACAGGGGCGGCCGCTGGGCGCGAGAGGTTGGCACAGCGGCTCTCCGCCTGCGTGCAGGAAGGTTTCGGGGTACACGGCGGGGAGAGTGTGTGTGTGTGTATGCAGCCCTCCCCCCCCCCCCCCCCATATTTTCAGGGGATGGGGCAAAGCTCTTGGGATGTGGGGCAGGAGGGGGACGAATATGTGCAGGGCCCAGAGGGAAGTGAGAGTGGCCAGGGGCCTCCTGCAGCCACAGGATGCTGTGCGCTGCCGGCACGCAGTGCTGGGGCTTTCCACAGGAACTTCCCCAAAATATTTTGGGGGAAAACATATCCGGCAGCGCCAAGATGTGCCTGGGTGGGTGTACAGCCCAGCACCCACCACTGGGTTGGGGCTGCAGCCCCGCGGGGCTCGCAGGGCGCTGCCGAACCCGCCATCACAGCGATGTCACCATCCAGGGATGTTCAGGGCGGAATAAGCTGAAAAGCTATTTTATGCTGAAAAAGCAGAAGTGCCAGTGACGCCTAGGGAGGGCTTGGGCTTGGGGTCCGGCTGCAGCACGGTGCTTCCCTGGGATGCTGGGGAATGCTGCGGTGCCAGCGCAGCACAGGGGCTCTGAGCATCCCCACAGTGTGCCAGCCTGTGCCACGGGGATGCTCAGAGCCGGCACTTGCACTAAGTACGGCAGCCAGCCGCTGCCCTGACACCGTCCCCGCGCACCCCATCCCTGCTTGCCGGGCAGGCACCCAGCCCCGTCCGTGCCATTTCGGTGGGACATGTCCCCGCGTGCCGGGTGGCCCTGCCCTGGCATGGGCTGCCAGCGCGGGTGGGTGGCTGCGGCAGCCCTGGCACCGGCGGCTCTGACCTGGCAAGCGACGGCGATCTCCCATGAGCTGCACCAGAGGTGGACCGGGTAGTCACAGCCGGGGAAGGCCACCCCGAGCCCTGGGGCCAGCAAGGCCACCAGTGCCAGGAGAGCCAGTGGCACCGCAGGGGCCATGGGGACGGTGGGGTGGCGTGGAGGCGAATCCGTCCCCGCGAAGACTTTTAAAGCCCGGCTGCGCCCGCCTCCGCGCGCCCTTCCTGCCCGGCTCAACCGGCCTCCTCATGTGATGCCGACGCTGCTGACTCACGCGGGGCCAGCCAGCTCGGGCCACCCTGTCCCGCCAGGGGCCACAGCCCCGAACTGAGGCTTTGGGGTCACAGCCCCTCTTCCCAGCCCCGCTGGCGGCTGACGCTTCCCCACAGGTTGTGACAGGTCGGGGACAGAAACCCAACTCTGAGCAGCTCACTCTCGGCGTCTCCCAAACAGGCAAAGGGGTGGCTCCTTGCCCGACCCCTGCCGCTGGCTGCCGAGCCCCCACGGAGACCCCCTGGAGCTGGGAGTGGGTGCCGAAGCACCCCCAGGTCGGCAGCTGCCCAAAACACCCCTTGGGCTTATTTCTGGGATTGAGCGTGGAGGAACCTCGTACTTCCCCCGCTGTTTATAGCTGTTGTTTCCGGCTGTTTCTCACTCCTTCGGGCTCGGCTGCCGCCTCCTCGCTTGCCTGGTCAGAGAGCCCGGGGCTGGCTTCTGTGTGCCCCAGTCCTGCAAGACCCCGGGGAGCAGAGTCCTGGCACAGCCCAGCACCAGCTGGGCCACAGGCCACATCCTGCACCCAGCCCAAGAGCTAGGGAACAGCCCTAACCCCCTCCGCTCCCCCAGCGTAACACCCCTCCCACAGAAACCCCCACAGTCGTTTCATTAATTCTGTTTATTTCTTTCTTTTTTTGGGGTTTTTTTTTGTGGGTTTTTTTGAAGTACCGTACAAAAATCCTCTTACAGTAACAAATACTGGGTTTACATTAGTAAACATCAACAGAAAGAGCATAGAGAACTACTGCTGGTAACAAACAGCTGAAGTGGCAAGTTATTTATTATTGCATATACCTAAATGGAACTAAAAATCTCAGGAGCGCTCACGCAGCTGCCATATCCTCTCCGAGCACAAAAAGGGCGGCGAGCCCCCGGGGGGGGGGGGGGTTTTACACGGGGGAGCGTAGAGCGTCCCAAGCCGGGACACGGAGGGACAAGACCCGAGCTGTGCCCCGGAGAGCAGGAATGGCCACGTTGCACCCACGGGCTGCGGGTGCGTGACCCGGTTGAGGGACACAGGGGGGGTCAACAAGCAGCAAAGCACAGCCCAGGGCCTCAAAACACAGCGCTTACCGGGTTCATCCGGCAGCGTGAACAGCACGAGCGAAAGCATCAAAGGACAAATCACAACCAGCTTATTCTAGGGGAGCTGCACTGCAGGCAGGGAGCTCAGGGCTTGGGCTTCCACTCCAGGGGGAGACAAAGAAAAAGCTGCATTTTAGGGAGCAGAGTCAAGCACCGTCGGGGAAAGGCAGCCCTGGGGAAGGGCATTTTCCTCCTCGTTGTACACTGGACTTGCGAGCAGAGCCCCATCAGCGATGGGCCATGGTGATGGGTGCCGGCGGGCAGGAATGGCAGTGCTGGAAGGGGTGACGGTGACCCCCCTTGCTTACACTGAGCTGCCCACGCTCCTGGGGAGAAAGAGGCTCCGGCTGGGCGGCAGGAAGGGACAGCATGGGGAGAACAGCACAAATTCAGCCAAAAGGATTAAAAAAAAAAGCTGTCAAGAGAAGCTGGAATTTCCCCAGCCACCAGAGCCAGGGTGAGCACCAAGCAAAATGTTGACAGGTGATGGCTTGAAGCTGAGACTCTCCCAGATGCTCGGCAGGCCCTGGCATGAGCCAGGAGCAAACCTTCCCAGCAGGACCGGCCCCAAGCTAACGTTGCTGGGGTGGTGGGGGGGACGCCAGACACTGTGGGGCGAGCGGCTGGAGGATCCCGTCTGTCTGCAGCCTGCCCTGTGGTGCAGGGATGTGCTGGGAGCGCAGGACCAGCAGAGAGTCCCCCCAGGCTGAAAATGTGCCACCAGTGTGGGGGCCTGGCAGAAAGCTTTGGGGTGTTGGTGCGGTCCCCCCGGCCACCCCACAGACCCCAGGAGGCCTCTGCAGAGAGAGCTATGAGCACCGGACCTCCCTGCCCCATTCCCACATGCTCTTATCTCTCACATGTCTGAGACCAAACTATTCCCTTAAATATCCCTGACAGCTTTTCCCAAGTGATCCCCAAAGCCAAATGCAGCCTTTCCCGGGCTGTGTGCCCCACAGCTCCCCCGACCTATCGCCTGCCCCTTCCGTGGCACTTTGGCACCCGAGCGTGTGCCTGGGCTGCGACGGGTCAGGGACAGCACCACTGCCCCGCATCCTCAGAGCACCAAACGCCGACAAACCAGAACCAAAAAACACAGCCCAGGGTCCGGAGAGGGCATGCAGAGTAGGGAATGGGGTCTGTACAGTCAAGCATAGGAGAGCTGCCACAAGCAACAGGAATGGGATGTTTGCTCCAGCAATCCCAGATCCAAAAGGATCCGGGGACCAGCCCAGAGCAAGGCGAGCAGCAGAGCTGACCGGGGGAGGAGGGACAGCACGGTCCCTGATGCAGATGGCATGCTGAGGACAGGGAGAGTGGGAAGAGCATGAGCACACAGCACCCCGCAGATTCGGCAGAGCCCGAGTCGCAACACAAAACAGAAGCGGCAAAGCCTACAGCATCCACCAGCCCGTCCTGAGGACGCAGCCTCCAAAAGGGAAAGAGCCTCTCTGGCAAATCAAGAGAACAATTAATGCTTTCTTCAAGCCAGGCAGACGGGATAACCCAATAAAGCAAATGCCACCACGGCCTCAACTCTCAGCCCAGGTCCAGCTTTTAAAGCTCTTCCAGGGCCACCTCCGTTGCCCTCGAGCCCTCTGAACTCATTCACAACAAATCCCTGCCCATGCCAGCCAGCTACGATGGGCAGCACTACAGCAACCCCCAGCTCTTTCACCCCAAGTCCCCATACAGTACTCATGATTATAAGTGCTTTGCATACATAGTTCGACATCATGCATATACATTGCTATGCGCTAAGGCCCGTGGCCCAGCGGAGATACCGTCCTCCTGCAGCAGAGAGGTCCTTCATTTTGTGTAGGGCTCGTAGTGTGCGTCGGACTTTGGCCCCCTCCTGCTTCAGCTGGCAGGACCTGAGTCTGCAACAGCCTGGCCAGCTGTTGCCCACACACTTGCATATCATAATGGGAGTTCAGCAAACACCAGTACTAGGTAAGCAGCCGATTACAAAAAGAACCATATTTACAGAGCTACAGTTAGCTTCAACAGGTTACGTTTGCAGAGATTCACCGAAGACAGCCGGAAACAACGAGCTGTGCATCCCATAGATTCTGCCGGGAAAAACACGGGTACCAACACGGATTTCACAGCTTAGTTGGCACAACTAAGGCGAAAGATTCATCGCTAACCGGATCCTCCCTCCCCAGACAGCAACACTCAAGAGGTGGTTATGACACTAGGGAACAAGACGGTGAGGTGGGGCACAGCACAGAGCGGAGACCTCAGCCAAGAAGCCCCACGGAGGATGGGGTTTCTCCTTTTAAATGAGTCTCTGCACAGGATGAGCAGCACCCCTCGTACCAGACACCACCTCAGCCTGCAAGATCACTGAGGGAAGCAAGAGTGGAGGATGCACACGTTCAACCATTCAGCAGAGCCTCCTCCTCTGCCTCCTCCGGCATCCAGGCAGGGAGCCCCTTGCTCAGAGCAGTGCTTGTGGCTGCTCGGCCGGGACGGTGACTGATGCCGTAGCGCACCGAGGAATTGGGAACCTAGCTCTACAGTGTTGCGTTGTGGGGCGACCTGCCAGCAAGAAGGGGATCTGACCTGTTTATCGGGGAAGGGGAGGGGGCTGTGCTTGCCCCCAGCAATTCAATCACAACTGGATCCCACCTCCTAGAGGCTGGAGCCCACTGGGAATCAACATCTCAGCCTTTTTGCCCCATCAGCCAACACGGGTTTCAGCTACTGACCAAGAAGGACATCAGGAACGGTCACAGACATCTCAGAGGCTCTGGAGGGGCAGGAGCACAGAGACTCAACTATACAGGGTGCAAGAGTCCAGAGCCAGAAAGCAGCGCTCTGGGGAGAAGCTGAAGGCAGCTGCTGTGTTGTGCACGGGCTGCTCATCTGGCTGGTGGCTGGGAAAGGACCGGGTGAGCCAGCGTGACATTCAGGGAGTCATTGTGCTGCACCAGGGACGTGTGCTTGTAGTGCAAGACCAGGTCCTTGAGGGAGGCGTAGAGGTTGTAGGGTTCAGCGAACCCGTAGCCGGTCGCCGTTTTGTAGATCACGCAGTGCTTGGTGTCACCATCCACCCTGCCAGGGAGACAAGGCAGCACAGGTCAGCGGCACACTAGAGAGACCCACTGGGATAGGCACAGGGACAGCAGAGCACAAGTGGGTATCACCGAAGCAGCCCAAAGATACATCTGGCCCTGGCAGGAGGAGCCGAGGCAGATGGGAGACCTCGGGGAAGCCCAGCCTGCCAGCTGACGCCTCCGCCAGCCTCCAGCATCTGGCGAGAGAAGGGCAGAGCGATGTGGGAGCACAGCCCCTGCCAGCCCCATCCCACCACTTCTGTGCGGGGGTACTCACACCACGGAGCAGGCGTAGCATCCCTTCTGGCTGCTCTCGCGGATCAGGAAAGTGCCGTCCCGCTTGCCGCACAGCATCTCTTCTGCCTGCAAGCGGTTGATCTTCCCCACGTACCACGTTCGTTCCTCATGGTGGGGCAGCTCCTCCTCATCGTCCATCATGGAGTACTGGCTGCAATCGAGCACAGGCAGGATCAGACCCCCTCAGTTTGGGCATGTGGCCCCCATATCTCCCTTCACACCGCTAGCTGCTGTCACCCCTTCTGGCAGGGAAGATATCCTCAGCTCCCAGGCAGGGAGATGGGACTTGCCCGCAACCCCAAAGCAGGCAGAACCGGCTGTGCAGCCTGTGCTCCTGCAGCCCCCCACATCCCACAATGCCCAAACAGGGACACTCACTCCTCCGTCTCATTCTTGATGCCCAGCCACTCGTTGATTTTCTTCTGCCGGGCACCTTTCTGTGTCAGCCACCTGGAAAAGGAGAAGCAGAACTCAGCACAGGCAGTGTGCCCGGCCTGCAGCATCCGGACCAGACACCGCTTGCGCAGCCATCACCAGAGGGCAGCAGCCGTCCCCTTTGAGGGACTGCCGTGCCCCAAGGCTGCACGCTGCAGGGCTCCATCCTGCACCCAGCAGCCCACAAGCCGGTTCGACAAGCCCCAAAGCCCTCAAGGAGCTAGCTGGATCGCTCCTGGTCCATGCCAGCGGGGCCCCGCTCCCAGCCCTCTGGGGAGGCAGGCTCTACGTACACCAAATACTGGTCTCGCAGTTTGCGCAGCTGCATGAGGTCTGGCTTGAGGCTGTTCATGCGCTTGTCGATCTCCCGGTTCTCCGAGGCTTGTTTCTTCAGGTCCTGCTCCAGCTTCATCTTGCTGTCGTGGATCTCTGTGATGCGAGACTTCAGCTTCTCCGAGTTCATGAGGATCCTGGGAGAAAGGGGGGGGGTTTAGGCTGTGAGCCAGGGTGGCGGAGGCAGAGGAGGCAGCCTGCCAGCTCCGGCCCACAGCACGCTTCTGGAGAGACAAGGATTGCGCATGCCTCGGCTCTGTGCTGGGCCAGGATGATCCTTCCAGCCCCCAGAGCCTTTCCCCAGGCAGGGCAGGTCACCACCACTCCGTGTTCTCACCGTTGCACCTCCTTCTCATTGCCCTCCCGGCGGAAGCGCTCGATGTACTCCTTGCTGCATTTCTCCTGCGTCTGACACTGCTCCTCAAAGATCTTGATCGTCTCGTTGAAGGCCTCGATTGCCGTCCTCTTCATCTGCAGCTCCTGAAAAGGGAGGGGAGAGCTGAGGAAAGGGGAGCATTTGGGCAGGTTTCTGCCCATTCGCATCCCCTCTTTCCCCCTCCCCAAAGCAGCACTGTCCTTGCTGCAGTCCAAATCTCCCCCTCTTCAAAGCCCATTCTTTGGAAGTCCCCTCAAGTCCAGGAGCAGACAAACAGGGCAGCGGGTGCCTGATCTCTGCTCTCCGCCACACAGCGGTGCGGCAATCGGGATATCAGGGCAGCCCATGGGGCCTGCGCTCCCAAGGGGAAGGCAAGCGCCTGCGTACCTGGGAAGTGCGTGTGTACTCCTCATACAGCAGGTCGTACTCCCAGCTCTTGTCCTGGTACTGCTGGTGATAGACCTTCAGCTGCTCCCCAACGGCTTCCACGCTGTCCTCTTTCACCACTTGGTCCTGCCATACGCACAGCCTTGGTCAGGACCTGCTCCTGCCCTACAGCAGCCTCTCTTCAAGGCAGCTGGTCCCACAAAACCCCACCAGCCCTGCAGGATGTCTGTCACCCCACAAAGCAATGTCCCAGCACAGGAGAAGGGGTGGGATGTTGTCATCTACCAAAGGATCAGGGATGGATGAGAACATGCCCCTGGTTCAGGCTGTACTGGCCAGCTGCATCCCTGTGGCACAGGCCTCACCTGCTGGTACTTGGAGATGGGGTAGAGCAGCCTGGTGTCCAGCTTGGCATTGTACTGGGCGAGCGATTCGTGCCGGTAATGGGTGATGAGCTCCACCACCGAGCCGAAAGTCAGCGGCTCTGAGAAGCCGTACTTCCCTTCCCGGTGAAAGATCTTGATAAGCTTGTTATTGCCTCCCTTCCTGTAGCAGGGAGGGGAGAGAGGGCACTTTTCACCACCCCAGCACCCTACACCCGCCTGACGTCTGGGTGTCCAGGCAGCTGCAAGCACAAGGACACATGCTGACAGCAGAAGCTCTCAGGGGACCCCAGCACCCTACCTGAGTGTGAGCGTGTACTCTCCCTGGATCTTGCTGGAGGCATCACGTACCAAGAAGGTACCATCCGGCGTGTCCCGTAGCTTCTCGTTCACCTCCTCCCTACAAGGAACATGATTGTCACGGCCTGTGAGGTGCAACCAGAGCTCTCCTAGATAACTCCACGGACAGGGCACCCAGGACGTGAGCTGCCAGCCACCCCCTTACCGAGAAATGTCACCCCAGTACCACTCGGCATCCTGCAAGGGCACACTGTTCCCGTTGGCCAAGCTGGCTGCACTGGGCTTTGGCTTAGGTGGTTTTGGAGGCAAGGCTGTAAGAGAAGGAGGGTTGAAGCATGGTGAGCCCAAGTCCCAGCTCCCCACAGGCGATCCCTTGGAGTGCTGACTCCCCCTCCCTGCAGTGACCATCCTAGGAAGCCCCGTTGGCCGCCATGCTGCCAGGAGCTGCTCCAGGTACATCTGCAGCAGCAGATAAATGCCTCGAGCCTACCTCCAGGCACAGCTGAGCTACAGAAATGCCCTCAGCAACTCACTCACGGGGGCAGAGACTCCATACCCATGGAGCACAAACACCAGAGCTTTGGGCCCCAGGGAAGGGGCATCTCAGTACCTGGAGGCAACTGTTCCGGCTCCAACTCCTTCGTCTGCAGAAGTATCTCCAAAAGTAGCACAGAGAAGTCAGGGCTCAGCTCTGGGCTGCAGGGAGAGAGGAGTCAAGTAAGAACAGCGGTTGTGGGGGAGAAGCTGGCACTGCTCCCATGCCCCCCAGGCAAAGGGGCAGCTGGGGTCAGCTGGTTCATCCCAGCTGCCAGATCCCAGGCTGACACAGAAGCAAGGGCTCTGCCCTGGCTTTGAGTCCCACCTCTGTGTGCTGCCAGCAGTTTAATCCCACATGCAACAAGGCAGGGGCTGCGGGCAGACCTGCTGTTACAGGCTGGACTCCTTGTCCTGGCAGGCACAGCAGCCAACGCTCAGTACACGGCTGGAACCCAAAAGCCTCACGTACCTGGCACCAGGCAGCCGGAGGAGAAGGGGGCCGAAGATCTCTCCCAGGGCCCGAGGGTGGAGACTGTTGCTCTCAGCCTGCTGCGATACCTTCCCCAGATGCCGGAGCAGGAACTGCAGGGTGAGCGTGTTCTGGAGCGGGACCGCAGGCGACTCCAGGGCCAGCAGCAGCTGCTTCCGGCAATTCTCTGGCTGTGGGATCTCTGGGGAGAGAACAAGACACGATGGAAGGGCTGGGACAGCCAGCACTGCTCTCTACACTCCGGCCGCGTCACAGCGTGGGAGCGCTGTCAGCAGCAGGGGCCATGAGCCAGACCCCATAGGGACAGGACTTATTTTGATAACCCAAACGCGTCCGTCCTGCCCAGCCACCCATTCCCAAGCGTGGCCAGGGGAGGCCCTTACCCTGCAGGATGCGAAGGATGTCTCCGTGCACGGACACCGGTACCACGGGGGAAGGCAGGTCCTGCAGGTAGCCTCGCAGCGCCTCGCCCAGGGAGTGCACATCAAAGGGCTCCAGGTCACCCAGGGTCCAATCTGCCAGGGCACAGATTTCCCATGGGTGGCAGGCACAGCACCAGGCACCCAGCCAGCAGCTCCGGTGCTGCCAGCACCCATCCCAGAGACCATCACACACCACCCAGCCAGCTATCACGGGACACAAGCAGCCCACATGACAAAGAATGCCTGGAAGTGCCCCCTGCATCCCAGAAATAAGCTGGCTCTGGGATCACACGCAGGTCCCCCCTGGGGAGGGGGTAGAGGTCATTTCAGGTGCCCGCACCCTTTGCCCTGAGCCCTGCCACAGGAATTCAGGGCACACATGACTCGGGTGAGAGTTTTGTTCCCTGCTGCGGGTAGAGACAAGTGCAGACTGACCAGTCACACACTGAACCCAACGGGGAAAACATCTCCCTCAAACTGTGATGTCCCACGAATGCAAGCCGCAGGCTGTCAGGACAGCATGTAAAGCCTGTCCTGAAAGTGGCGTGGCCAGAGCCGACAGCACCGCGCAGTTGGGGTTTGCAAGAACATCTCTGGAAGGGGACAAGCCAGCGTGGTGCTGGATGAGGCCCAAGCCCAGCCGAGAGGCAGACAGCTCCGAAGGCTCCCCAAGAGAGACATCAGCTGCTGGCACAGCAGAGCTAAGGCTCCAGCCACCAAGCTGAGCTGCAAGATCCTCCCTTGCTTATTAGTGGCATGACAGAGCCAGAGAAGCCTCCGCCAGCCCATCAGCAGAGCACCCCGAGAGTGGGGCACGCCAAAGAGACAGCGGGAGACAAGCACAGGGGTTCACTTGTTGGCCTGCAAGTCTCCGAGCTGGTGCCACGTCCCTTTGCTCCAGCCCACGGACAGCGGCAGGAATCCCCCCCTTCCCGTCCCTTCCTCGTGAGACAGGGACGTGTCAGGACGGGGACGGCCCAGCCCCACAGGCAGCGTGATGGGAGTCAGGAACTGCCGGGGACAGGCAAGCTTGGCCTGGATTGCATTACTGCTGGCGCTGTCACATCCACTAATCTCCTCCATCTGAGCCGATTCGCCTCCTCACCATGCGGAGCTGGTTCTTACCGGTTCTCAGCGCTTGCCTCAGTTCGGAGCCAGATGTCCTGTACAACATCTCGCTGTCTAACCCTGCGGAAGCGGGGACACTGCTGTGAGTTGTGCAGCTCCCAGTGCACGCACCGTTTTGGTGCCAGCCCGGCACCCGCGCGCCAGCCGGGCAACGGCTGCGGCATGGCTAACCGGGCCTGGATGGTGTCCAAGCCAATCTCCTGCAGATGCTGCCGCAGCCCCCTTGCCCCCAGGACACCTGGTTCAGTGGCCCCGTTTCTCCCCCATGGCGCAGATCCGGGCTGGAGGTGCTTCCCAAACTCCAGCACTCATCCGGGGCACGTAGGCATCCTGCGTGCAGACCCAGCCCCCTCATCCCAGGTCTCTGTGCAGGATGGCACACGGGGTCAAGCTCGGCTCTGGGGAACAGCAGCTCAAGCCAGGCAGGAGCGGGAGGGCCTCCCCTTCTGCAGGCTGCTGTGTCCTGCCCGTCCCAAGGAGCTCAGTCCGACATCAGTAGCTTTTGAAGACAGCTGCCTCCCCCTCTGCCCTCACTGGGGGGGGTTTAGGAAGTATCAGCCCCTCGGTGCTCAGCATCCCCCCTTACCTTTCTTCTCAATAGCTTCCACCAGCTTCACCAGCAGCGGCGGTGCAATCTCAGGAGGGCTGAACTGCTCCTGCAAGTCCGGGAGAGGAGACCCTGGGGGAGAGGGAGGGAGAGAAGGGGTCAGCTCCAGCTCAGCTCCTACCAGATGCTCTGCAGTGGAACCAGGCCAGGGCACAACCAACGCTGCTCCCAAAGGCAGCGTCCGAGGGCGAGGAAAGCCGTGGCCCCTGCCGCGAAGCCGCAGCCCACACAAACACCGCACAGAGGCTGCAGGGAACCTGTGAGCTGGCCCAGAAAACAGCACGGCACTTGTTGAGTCCGGCCTTGCTCCGAGCCCCCGACAGTGTGTGCATCCCTACTGTTCCATGCAGAGGCAAGGAAGCAGAGCCTGTCTCCCTGGGGACCCTGGCACCCTGGGCAGGGAGCACAGGGGTTACCAGGGCTCCTGGAGCTCAGGCCGGTTTCAGTCCCTGCCCAGCACAGGGGCTGCGCAGGGCTGACGGAGGAGCACGGCTAGGGAGCTCGCCCGCGGTGGTGAGCTGTGATTAATCCAGCGATTCAGACAGAACGCCATGTCAGCAAATTCCTGCCCTTGATTGCTCGTTTAACATGGAAACCAGCCCTCTGCCTCCCCCTCCCCGTGAGCCCACAGCCTCCGTGCAAGCTGTTACAGGGTGCAGACAGCCTGCGGCACAGGACCGGGGTTCCCCCCTTTCTGGGGGATCTACGGCCCTGCATTGGGTGACATTTCGCTGCCACTTCCAGAAGATCTTGAGGTCCCAGCTCCAGGCACCCCCCTTCCCCTGCGCTGGAGGGGTGACACATGCCGGGGCAGGAGCACGCAGGCCCGGCCGGAGAGCTGCCAGCGGGAGGTTTGCCGAAGGATGAGCGGTGCCAGGCTCCGTTTCGCTTCCAACTGAGCACCAGCCGGTGCAGGAGGCTCCTTGGGGCCGCTCCACAGCACCGGGCAGACCCTGGGGAGCCCACGGTTGGTGAGGATACCCAGCACGCTCCGCTCTGTGGGGAGGCAGAGCCAAAAATCTGTTGCCCGTTGCGAAACACAGCTCTGCTGTCATGGATCTGACCCGAACTCGCCCAGTGTGGTCTCGCCACGAGGTGCAGCAAGCTGAAACTCCGCACCCGGCTGAGCCTCCTGCACCCACGGCCTCGCGGGGAGGCGAAACAGCTCGTGTCGGTGCAGCCACGAAAAGGGGAGTAAATGGGGCAGGCGCCCAGCGGTTCTGCAAGGGTCTGTGCTGCTGGGGGAGGGGGGTGATCCCCCCACCAGAGAGAGCCCCCGGGCATAGGAAAGGGTTCAGGATGGTGCTGGTCAGGGTAGGGAAGCTGCAGGAAAGCTGCCAGGCTGGCAGCTCCGAGCCTGACCCTTGGGAAGGGCTGAAGGGAGAGTAAATACTGGTGCTGCCCACGTGGCCCAGCCGGGAATGTGCTGCTTCAGCAGGCAGCAGCTTGCCTTTTTTTATCAGGCAGCCTGTGCTGGAGCCAGCAGCGGCTCCCAAGCCTGCCGGGCCCTCCAGGCTGGGCTGCCGTGAACAAGGCCGCTCACAGCACGGCCGGGGCAGCTGCGGAAATATTTCCGAGCCGCATTTTCCGCTCGTGTTCTCTGAGGAAGGCAAACACCGGCAGCTCGTAAATTCACCGGCAGAAAGCGCTAAGTCTCGATGCTCTGCGGGGCCAGCCCTGCTCCTGGGCTGCGTGACAGCTGTGGCACTGGTCCTGCTCCACGTGTGACACCGGGGGGCTAACGGATCCCTGCCAGCCAGGGCAGAACCCAGGAAACAGGGCAGAAATGCCACCAGTATAAGCTTTGTGGGGCAGCCAGGAGACATCTCTGCACCTCCCAAAGTGCAGACCACGAAGAAATAACATGGGCTTGGCTTAAATACAGTTTCTCGGTTGCAAAAACATGTCTCCGCACCAGCATCCCAGCAGGCTGCGTGTAAAATGGTTTTGGGCATTTGAATTGCCACCCTGCGGGCCCCAGCTGTGCCCAAGGTGGAGCCTGGCCGTGGGGATGCACCCACTGGGGACAGGGCTGGCACCCCCTCATGTGCCCTGGTACCTGACCCTCACTCTGCTCCAGCCCCGGACAGGATGCAGACAGGCTGGCTTTTGGTTTCTTTCCCAACCGCATCTTTTCTGTGTGTCAGGAGCTTTAGCACGTATCTTCTTCCGCATCCCAGTGATCCCCACCCCTGTGCAGGGCAGCGGCTTTGACCACCCAGACACACCTCCACCAAGCCGCGCTTGAGAAGAAGAGGAGAGAGCCCACGAAGGCATAAATACAGCCCCCGAGGGAGCACAAGGCTGGATGCAGGCGAGGTCGCCGCATCCACCGCAGAGCATGTCCCAGGCTCCCAAGAGGAGCTGCTTTCTTGGAAAGGCAGGTTGCGAGTGGGATGACTCAGGTCAGCAGCTCTCGCTGCCAACCCAAACGCATGGCCCGGTCACATTCCCACCCTGCGGAGACGTTTCCTGGGGCCGCCTCTCTGGCTCCAGGAGTGAGAGCTTGGGAGGCAGCCGTGGGGAGCTGCCCCAGCCCCACCACCCTGGTTTCTGAGACAGGGGCTCCTTTCCATTCCTTAAGACCCCAGAGAGGTTTCACACAGCTAGAACCATCTGATGGGACAGCCGTGGCTCCCAGGCAGAGAGGGACAAGGAGGACGCAGGACTGCCAGCTGGGAGCGTGCTTTGATGCCCACCACCTCCTGCTTCTGACCCTACTCCTCCCATGCCTACAAGCACAAGGTCTTCTGCAAGGCATGGGAAGGCAAAGCGTGGTTATCACCCCTATTTGCTGTCTCAAAGCACCTGGGGGCTGCTGAGCCCCTGCCACGGGGTTCGTATGCCTGGGAGCAAAAAAAATAAGCAAAGATAAGGCAGCTGCTGCGGGCAGCACTGAGGCTCTCCCAGCTCCCGGACCAGGTCCGTGCCAAGCCCAGTGCCGGCTGGGAGGCAGCCGCAGGTGTGGAGCAGCCCATGCCCTGCCTGAGGGCGGCTGCCCAGCCCCAGCGAGAGCTCTGCGATCTGCAGGGAGGGACGGGTGCCAGGCAGACAAGCAATTAGCTCCAGTTCTCGGAAGTACTCTTTTAGACCCTGACTTTTCTCCTCTTGCCCAGAGACAAGTAATTGTGTGTCTCAGCGGGGCTGAGCGGCTCTTGGCAGGGAGCAATGCCCTGAGCGCTCCAGAGGCCGAGGCAGGGAGGTGGTTGGGAGAGGTCAGGACTTTTTCCTAAAGGGAGGGAGCAGGGCAAAACCCTCAGCGGAGCAGGGAAAGGAACCAAGGACCATGGGGATCATGGCTGGTTATGGGCCAGAGAAGGAGAAGGATCTCGGAGAGGTAAGAGTGGGACAAGGCTCACCCCAAAAATCTGCTAAGCAGATTGATAAATTGGGGGAACAACGTGCTTTTCTCTCGGCCAGGACTGAGCCCACAAGGCCCAGGCAACTTGACTGCATTGCTGCCGGTGGGGACAATCCAGTGCTACCGAGCCAAGGGCTTCACCGCTGTCCTGCAAAGCCACTCACACTCCCTCATCCATCGCACACTGGGAGCAGAGGTCTCCCGCAGCAACACGGCACGCAGCAGGGCTTACCTTGCTCCAGAGCATCCTGCAGCCGGCAGCCGCTGGCCCCCGGCGTTGCAGGCAGGGGTCTCTGCACTCGGGGCCGATGGGAAGGGACGGAGATCTTCACAGGCCCCACGTACTCCACGTACGTGCCGGGAAAGTCGCCCTTCTGCTTGGTTCGCTCGTTGACGCCCAGGATCCACCCGATCTGATTGGGGGTCTGCTCATCCCCGTCTTTGAAGCCCAAGGATTGCAGGGCCCCCTTGCTCACCACTAGGATGTCCCCAGGCAGCAGATCAATGTCCTCCTCACGCTCCTTGCGGTAGGGGTAGAGCGCACGGTACTGGAACCCATCGGTGCTGCCCATTCTTTCTGCCGTGGGGAGAAGGGCTCTGAAGAGTAAGGCAGTGCGTTTCGGGCAGGATTGAAGGGATCTCAGAGGCAGCTCTCCCCCATCAGCACTCTGAATGTCTCTGCATGAACCAGCACCCCAGGTGCCTGGTACGGGTGCCCTGGTGCGCTTAGGTGCAGCCCCTTTTCCTTAGCTTGAAACCACGATTCAACCAAATTATGGAGCAAAGGGAGAAGGAGACAAACATAATCCAGCACTTGTGAGCGGGCATGCAACAAAGAAACAGGAGATCAGGGTCCGCTTCACCAAAAAAGAAGCAGGTTTCTTGGAGTCCAGGGGGCAAAAGCACAGCAGGCTTCCAGCCCAGAATGGCGTGGCATGCTACGTCTCCCTTCCCAGTGCCTGCAAAGAGAAGAAGACCTGTCACTGCACAGCCAGGCACCCCACACCCTCCTGAGACGCCAACATTCAAAGTAGGGGTTCATCTGAGTAGCTGAGAGAGGCAGGACTCGTTTCTCTCCTACCAACCAGCTGATGCTGAGCCCTGGATCCAACCAGAACACGCTAATACCAATTTACACTCCCAAAAGCAAGAGAGGAGCCAGCGGCTGTGGGCAGGAATGCCACCTCCTCTCTGCTACAGTCAGGCTCCAGCTCTGCATCTTAAAGAGGTTCGCTCCTGCTTCTTCAGCTTACCCTCCTCGCAGCACTTATGCAAACAAGACAACAAGCAGGACAAAACAGCCTTTATACAGAACTTTTGCAAACAGAAAAGGGTGACCCTGCAACCACCAGCTGGAGGCCTTCAATAGGAGCAAAACAAACAGATTTAACCTTTCCTTGTTAAATCGATTAAATTTCACAGTTCACCTTTACATCTCCCCATGCAATCCCCCACAAAGTCATTTTCTGAAGGTAGCTGCCCACAAAGGTAGGTTAACCAAGCTTTCAGCAAAAGGCTTTTGAGATGCTTTGCCATTCCCACAGAGCAGCACTTCAAAGCTTTGCTCTGAGCAAAGTAAATTTTTGAACTTTTCAAAAGCAGTAGCAGCATCAAGTGCAGGCATGGGTTCTTTCCACAGAGAGGGAGGTGAGAGGAGTTAAAAAAACCCAACCTTTAGAAGCCTTCAAGTCTACTTAGAACTGCTAACTGCCTTTCAGCTATTCAGAGAGAAACTGAAGAATATGCTGCCTGCCCTGCCCAGAAATCCACCAAAAAGAATAAACCTAGGTTCTAACATGTTCTGGAAGGGATGTATGAGCTGGGGCATTCCCACCAGCTGGGCACGTCCTCTTTTCCATCCCCTCCTGGCCACACAGGCAAGTTTTCCACCTCCCCCAGGCAAATCCCAGCGTTCCAGTTCCCGCAGCCACGGCATGCAACCAAGGACCGGACCTACAAGGCACCGGGGCAGCCAGAAACCAGCCTTCCCAGGGACACCCTAGGCCTGCTGAAACACTGCTTGAGCTGTTTTGGCCCAGAAACCACCAAACCCAGCTCAAACACTTGAGTCTCATCTGAAAGCTATTAGTGAGCAGGAAGGCGCTTCTCAGGGCTGCCGGAGCCTCTGCAGAGGGAGGCGAGGAGGCAAAGGGAGCCAGGGCACCCTTCCCGGTGGGGTCAATGCACAACCAAGCACGGCACGAAGCCAAGGCTGCTCCGACCGACCGCTGGCTGGACTCTGCGAGAGGCACTAGCATTGGTGATCTGCAGTATTTCAAAATAACCCTTTTGGGCCAGAAACACATTACAGTTCACATCAGCTACAAGCCCCCCCCACTGCTTTCCTCCTGCACATGCTACCACCCCTGCACGCTACCAGAAAGTCTGAGATCGGTGCGAGTCCCCTGAGGGAAGCCAGCTTCACCTCTCTGCAGGCAGGCTCTCCAGCCCAGCACCACGCTGAGGGTTCCTTCCCTTGACAAAGAAGAAAGGCACAAAGAGGCCATGGCACATGAAACCTGTGCAGCAGCCAGAGCCCGCGCTGGTTGCCTGAGCTCGGGCAAGCGTCCCAGCCGGGCTGTCTTTGCCATGAATGAGCAGGCATTGCCCTCGGGGAGGTAAGACACTTGCAGCCGGGATTGAGCCTGATCCGGGTCACTGGAGAGCTTCTCTGGAGCTCCAGGAGTAAAACCAGGCTGCAGGACTCGTGGAGAGACCCTGGGGACAGGGGGTGTTTGTGGGAGAAGCAGTACGACCCAGCACAGCTGCCGTGTAAGCTCCCACCACGCTGGGATGGCAGCCGCAGGGAACTCTCAGCGGAGCCCACATTTCCCCAGTCCAACTGGCCCCGGCCAGGAAAATATTACTTCATAATCCAGAGCATAAAGAGAGATTTATGACCAGGCTCGCTGCCTGCCGCTCGCCCCTCTGAACGCTGCCTGTCAGGGTCTGACAGAGCCGAGACGGCAGCATCGGGGGCAATGTCTGACCGCCAGGGGCCCGAGCGGCCGCTGTCTGCTGGGAAAGGCACCGGCAGCTCCCACTCCTCCCGGAGCGGACAGACCCCGTAACGCACCCAGAGGCAGCGGAGCCCAAAGCCAGCGGGGTCGATGCTCCCCCAAAGGCACCTCTCCAGCTTCCACCCGCAGATCCCAGCCCCGACTCCAGGCGCCTCAGACATGCTGGTGCAGCTGAAGAGGCTGGAAGGACAAAACACTCAGCCCTGGCAAACTCGTTCAGTAGCTTTTAAAAGCAGATCTGCGTGGAGGGGTGGGAAGAGGAGAGTGTTGCTCCGGAGCACTGAGTGTCTCCAAAGAGCAGGTCCCGCAGCTCCTGCTCCATCGACTCCTTCCAGCCTCCTTCCCTGCGGCAGGAACGCAGAGGCGCAGCTCTGTGCCACCCTGCTCTCCGCGTCCCAGCAGGTCACTGGACACGTGAAAAAATACAGATAACTTAGAGCCAGCCTGGTCCTTGAAGCAGCCTCACCTGCCTTCCCCACACTCAGCCCATGTGGGGATCAAAAGCCCATGAACGCGGGTGAGGAGCCACCTGGGAAACCCAAATGCGCATGGCTAATGCCGGCACCATCCTCTCCAGGGGAAAGACTTGTCCTCTGTCCTGCCACGGACCCAGCGAGCAGCTTCCCAGGCTAAGCTGCGTGTGCAGGATGGCAGCTGCCAGTCAGAAAAGCTCTGCACCCCACAGAGAGCAGCTGACCAAATCGGAGTGTCTTTGGAGAGAGGCAATGCACATTTCTCAAAGCCCTTAAACAGCTCTTCGGAGGGAAGGCGAGTTGGGGAAGGCAGCGCCGAGAGCCTGGGACACGCACGAGCCTGTCGGCTGGAAGCACACCTCCGAGCGCAGGAGAGAGGGAGCAGCTTGCCAAAAGATTTCGGCTGGGCCTGGCTCCAGGTTCGCTCGGCTCTCCGAGAGGAACCTCGTGTGTCTGTGCTGGCGAGCACTTTGCTTAGGCTGCTCTGAAAATCCCATGCATCAGACATCTAAATACCTTTGGTAAATCTATCTCAGTGCCCAGAAACAATCCCTCGATTCATTAACTGCTGTCAATACTTTCTTTGTTTAATACATCGGTTTGAAACAAAAAACACATTACGAGTCTTTTTGTGTGTGCCCAGCACATAAATAAAAGCATCTTAACGTTTTAAATGTGGTTCCTGTGCTTTTTAACCCAGTTCCAAATGCAGTTCAAAGTGCAGCTTGACTTGAAGCAAGACTGAGTGTTACTTTCCCTCCAGTGAGGCAAAAGAACACATAAAAATATTTAAAAGAAGAATATGCCTACAACAATCTACACAGCTCAAACCTTTCCAAGTTACATCAGATCCTTAGCGAGCAAAAAACCACCAAATCAAGTTTTGAACTGCAAAACGCTACATGTTAATGGGTTACAAACAATGAGAACAAATCTTTCCTTTATTAAAGGGAGAAAATAGGACAATGCAACTAGGGATGGAAATAAAAACGGACACGGAACTGCCTGCCACATCGTGGCCTATTGTGACAACTGCTGCTGCATCAAGTCTTTCTGACCTACACAGCCAGGGCAGCTCTGCCGGCCCCATCGGAGTAGCAGAAGCTGGTGGTGCCGAGCATGCCACGGGTCACGCTGCGTCCACAGGCAGCCAAAACACCAAGCAGCACCGGGGGAGAGAGGGCAAGAGCTTGGCAACCCCTGGTTTATAATTCGGGACAAACAGCACAGCAATCCCCCGCGATCCCAGGCAGCTTCCCAGGCCGGCTCCCTCCCCAGCCCTGCCAAAAAGCCTGAATGATGACTCGCAAGGCTTGAGCTACAAGCGAGGCCACGGTGGAAGTGGCAATGCCACGATGAGCTGCAGAGGAATGAGCTGGGCGAGCCCGCAGGGAACTGGTGTGGGTGGGAAGGGGAGCTGGACACGGTCCACCAGCTGCCCCCAGGGAAGTGGCCAGAGGAGCAGGGAGAGCCAGAGCCATGCCGGGGGCTCATGCTCCCAGATCGGCAACGGCTACGACGCTGCCAAGCCAGCTGGTATTTCCCTCCAAAGAGGGAAAAGACGCAGAGGAGGCGAGTTACGCCGTGAGTTGTGCCCAAGCCAGGCCTGCTGTCCTGAGAGTGACCACATTGCAGCAGAGGCACGGGGCAGCCAAGGCCATTTTCACCTCTTTTCTCACCAAGAAATGCTTCCCACGCAGCTGGCAACAGAGCCTGAGGAGCAGCATCATCCTACCCATGGCCACCAGCTGCCCTTTGCCCGGATACAGAGCATTTGCTGCTTAGGCTTGAGTTTCATTAAATATTTTGCTTTATTCACTGAAGCCCAAGGACGTGAAGGAATATCTGAAACATTTCACTGAAAACGTAAATGTTATGGTTAGCAGAGACCTGAGGAGCCTCATAAATCCCTGCCTTGGCATAACCAATACCTACCTCGTTTTTGAGAGGCATCTGGAGGTCTCAACAACCTCCTCCTCAAAGGCTGGACAGTCTGAGAGCACCTCAGGCAATCTGCAGACCTACTCCAAGGCTTCTCTTACTGTCTGGAGGCTTCTCCTGACATCAGACATTCTTGCTTCAGTTGAAGCCTGTCCTGTCTCACCCACCTCAGGGACTTTCTCCTCCTCCCCACAACAGCCTTTTACTTGGCCAGAGACTTTTACACACCCACACCAAGCAGAGAAGGACCAAGCACCCTATACCAGCACTATTGCTTCACTCCAGGCTCCCTTTATACCAGCCCCCAAGCAGCAAGAACGCACTTCTTCCATTTTAGGAGCATTCATGGGGCTGGGTTTAGGGACTTTTTTCAGAAATAAACCCAGGAGCTGTATTTCGGCTACTTCCCTCAAAAATTACAGTTCTAAAAAAACTGAGTCTATAAAAAAAAAAAAAAATTCCAACTGCTCTTGCTAACTTATCTGCTTAAAATCACATTCCCCGGGGTATTTGGAATTTATATGACGATTTCTTAGCAGCTCCGCACAATGCAGCAATCACATGAAGTAACCTATAAGGTGAGAAGCAACCACGTTAGCAACCAGCATTATTTGGGTATTGGTTGAGAGAAGCAAGACCTTCCAACTTGAGAAATCCACTGTCCCTTCCCGTTTGCTTTTTATCTTCCATTACTTGATTACTTTAGCTCCAAGCTGCAGCTCCAGATATTCCCAGAGGAATCAAAAGAGCCCTCAATATTATAAATACTCTTTTTCATTGTAAACACAACCCAGCACTCGGAGCAAAGCGCCGGCGCTCTGACACGGCTCCAAACTGGCTCCACAAACCACTCTGCTCCTTGCCGCATTCCAGCTGAGCTGCGGTTTCTCTTCCAACCCAGAGCTTTTGTCCAGCAAGACCCAACTGTGGGCAGAAAGGATTTTCCTGCGTGCTTAAAACCTTGTTCTACGAGTGAAAACCTGAGGGTTTGGGGCAGCAATCACCTTTAGGACAGAAGCCTCGCCGCAAACCACACAGGCATATTGAAGCACGATCTGCCCACGTCAGAGAAGAGAGTCACCAAAGAAACCAAACCATGGCTTGGACTTTCCCACATCAGGGAAGAGTCGATGACTGGAGCAGAGGCCAACCCAGCCTCGGGGACACACCAGCCCTTCGCATGTTAGGGAAGGGCGGGGGAATGGCCAGGAAAGCAGTGATTTAGGCTATATTTACTCAGCTGTCTCCATTCTCTGCTCTCACAGAGAAAGTCACAGGGCCAGTTCCCCAGTGACTCTAAGAGCTACTCGGGAAATAAAAGCCACGCATTAATGGGGAGGAGAGGCAGCCATTCCTCTGCTGCGCTGGGCACGGGTGCCGAAAGGCGCAATGCCAGTGCCACTCCAGCTCTTCGCAGCTCTTGCAGAGCTCATTGTAGACAGGTTCCCCCCCCCAGGTTTTATTTCCCATTGAACACAGACCCTCAGTTTCGGAGGTACGTGACCATGAGAAGCTTCCCCTTCAAGGGGCTGAGAAACATCCCAAGGATTGGGAGAGACGCAGAGCACAAACCTCACTGGAAAGAGGTGGCCTGGCCAACCGTCCCAGAGCCAGGGTTTGGGGGCAACCATGTCTAGAGCCAGCAAAGCCACAGCCACCCCCAGGCTGGACTCCAACACATCCAGCCGGACAGGCGCATCCCTAGGTCATCCGGCCCCAACCTGGGGCCTGCTGGGGTAAAACCGTGGTGGGACCAAACCGCAGGTGGGCAGGGGAGGGGGCACGGCAGTGGGTCCAAGCCCTCAGCCCCCAGGCTGGAGTCACGCAGCCCTGACAGGATGCTTTTCTCTGGCTCTGTCATGCAAAGAGGGGGCTCAGGACCCCTGGCAATGGGGGCTGCACCCTCCCAAGGGGGGTGGTGGGGTGTCCCTGCCCTGGCACCACTGCAGGGGGAATGGCACAGAGGTCCCCGCGCTGGGGATGGAGATAGCCTGGGGGAGGGTGGGTTGATGGGGGGGCACAGCCCTTGCACAGGGAGGGGACAGGGACAGCCCTGGCACCACGGTGGAGGGGACACAGCTCTGGCACAGGGGACCTGCCCTGGCACCTCAGGCCGGGGGGGGGACGACACACACACGACACAGGGCCAGCCCGGGGGTGGCACGGCCCTGGGGGGGGGGTGTGACACTGCCCTGGCAGCGGAGCACCCTGCGCTGACACCACCGGGAGGGGGACGGGGACAGCCCCGGTGTTGCCCCCGGAGAAGGGACAGAGG